TTTAGATAGGACCGAGTTTCCACCATAAGCGAGCTGCTGTATACGTCGAAAAATAAGGATACATAAAGCGGGAATAAAAGAGAGTGAATAAATGACGTAGTAAATAATAATGATAATAATAATAATAATAATAATGTGAATTGTTTGACTGTAAATCGAAGCGACGCCCGACCTGAGCATTCAAGTCTCCGGCTAGTACTACATTATCTGTCGAACGCACTTTCTGGAGAAGAACAGATAACTGGTGGTAAAACTCATCCTTGATTGCATCCGGGCTGCCATCTGTCGGGGCATAGGCGGAGATGACGAAAAGACATCGTTTCTCACGCCGATTTCCTCTCACTTTGATGGAACTTTCTAATCTAACAGCACATAACCGACTGTTAACGGAGATCCAATCGACTAGTGCTGCCTCAGCTCTAGCGCTTAGTGCGACACCAACGCCAGCAAGACCAGGCTAAGATGCCACAGGGCCCCCGGATGAACGCACATAAAACAAGCTTTTTGAAGCGACAGATGGAGAGCGAATTTGTAGTACTTCACCAGAGTCTTGAATACGGGTCTCGGATAGACAACAAACGTCGATATTAAGACTTTCAAAAGACATGACCAGCTCTATATGTTGTTCGACCTGCATAAGTGTGCGAACGTTGAACGCAGCCAGTTTTAATGGTGCACGTGGTTTCAGAAAGACCGTTTCAGTATTCGTATTTGGTGGTAGCATACAATTTTCAACCAGGCAGTAACTCGGGAACGTTTAGATAGGACCGAGTTTCCACCATAAGCGAGCTGCTGTATACGTCGAAAAATAAGGATACATAAAGCGGGAATAAAAGAGAGTGAATAAATGACGTAGTAAATAATAATGATAATAATAATAATAATAATAATGTGAATTGTTTGACTGTAAATCGAAGCGACGCCCGACCTGAGCATTCAAGTCTCCGGCTAGTACTACATTATCTGTCGAACGCACTTTCTGGAGAAGAACAGATAACTGGTGGTAAAACTCATCCTTGATTGCATCCGGGCTGCCATCTGTCGGGGCATAGGCGGAGATGACGAAAAGACATCGTTTCTCACGCCGATTTCCTCTCACTTTGATGGAACTTTCTAATCTAACAGCACATAACCGACTGTTAACGGAGATCCAATCGACTAGTGCTGCCTCAGCTCTAGCGCTTAGTGCGACACCAACGCCAGCAAGACCAGGCTAAGATGCCACAGGGCCCCCGGATGAACGCACATAAAACAAGCTTTTTGAAGCGACAGATGGAGAGCGAATTTGTAGTACTTCACCAGAGTCTTGAATACGGGTCTCGGATAGACAACAAACGTCGATATTAAGACTTTCAAAAGACATGACCAGCTCTATATGTTGTTCGACCTGCATAAGTGTGCGAACGTTGAACGCAGCCAGTTTTAATGGTGCACGTGGTTTCAGAAAGACCGTTTCAGTATTCGTATTTGGTGGTAGCATACAATTTTCAACCAGGCAGTAACTCGGGAACGTTTAGATAGGACCGAGTTTCCACCATAAGCGAGCTGCTGTATACGTCGAAAAATAAGGATACATAAAGCGGGAATAAAAGAGAGTGAATAAATGACGTAGTAAATAATAATGATAATAATAATAATAATAATAATGTGAATTGTTTGACTGTAAATCGAAGCGACGCCCGACCTGAGCATTCAAGTCTCCGGCTAGTACTACATTATCTGTCGAACGCACTTTCTGGAGAAGAACAGATAACTGGTGGTAAAACTCATCCTTGATTGCATCCGGGCTGCCATCTGTCGGGGCATAGGCGGAGATGACGAAAAAACATCGTTTCTCACGCCGATTTCCTCTCACTTTGATGGAACTTTCTAATCTAACAGCACATAACCGACTGTTAACGGAGATCCAATCGACTAGTGCTGCCTCAGCTCTAGCGCTTAGTGCGACACCAACGCCAGCAAGACCAGGCTAAGATGCCACAGGGCCCCCGGATGAACGCACATAAAACAAGCTTTTTGAAGCGACAGATGGAGAGCGAATTTGTAGTACTTCACCAGAGTCTTGAATACGGGTCTCGGATAGACAACAAACGTCGATATTAAGACTTTCAAAAGACATGACCAGCTCTATATGTTGTTCGACCTGCATAAGTGTGCGAACGTTGAACGCAGCCAGTTTTAATGGTGCACGTGGTTTCAGAAAGACCGTTTCAGTATTCGTATTTGGTGGTAGCATACAATTTTCAACCAGGCAGTAACTCGGGAACGTTTAGATAGGACCGAGTTTCCACCATAAGCGAGCTGCTGTATACGTCGAAAAATAAGGATACATAAAGCGGGAATAAAAGAGAGTGAATAAATGACGTAGTAAATAATAATGATAATAATAATAATAATAATAATAATAATGTGAATTGTTTGACTGTAAATCGAAGCGACGCCCGACCTGAGCATTCAAGTCTCCGGCTAGTACTACATTATCTGTCGAACGCACTTTCTGGAGAAGAACAGATAACTGGTGGTAAAACTCATCCTTGATTGCATCCGGGCTGCCATCTGTCGGGGCATAGGCGGAGATGACGAAAAAACATCGTTTCTCACGCCGATTTCCTCTCACTTTGATGGAACTTTCTAATCTAACAGCACATAACCGACTGTTAACGGAGATCCAATCGACTAGTGCTGCCTCAGCTCTAGCGCTTAGTGCGACACCAACGCCAGCAAGACCAGGCTAAGATGCCACAGGGCCCCCGGATGAACGCACATAAAACAAGCTTTTTGAAGCGACAGATGGAGAGCGAATTTGTAGTACTTCACCAGAGTCTTGAATACGGGTCTCGGATAGACAACAAACGTCGATATTAAGACTTTCAAAAGACATGACCAGCTCTATATGTTGTTCGACCTGCATAAGTGTGCGAACGTTGAACGCAGCCAGTTTTAATGGTGCACGTGGTTTCAGAAAGACCGTTTCAGTATTCGTATTTGGTGGTAGCATACAATTTTCAACCAGGCAGTAACTCGGGAACGTTTAGATAGGACCGAGTTTCCACCATAAGCGAGCTGCTGTATACGTCGAAAAATAAGGATACATAAAGCGGGAATAAAAGAGAGTGAATAAATGACGTAGTAAATAATAATGATAATAATAATAATAATAATGTGAATTGTTTGACTGTAAATCGAAGCGACGCCCGACCTGAGCATTCAAGTCTCCGGCTAGTACTACATTATCTGTCGAACGCACTTTCTGGAGAAGAACAGATAACTGGTGGTAAAACTCATCCTTGATTGCATCCGGGCTGCCATCTGTCGGGGCATAGGCGGAGATGACGAAAAAACATCGTTTCTCACGCCGATTTCCTCTCACTTTGATGGAACTTTCTAATCTAACAGCACATAACCGACTGTTAACGGAGATCCAATCGACTAGTGCTGCCTCAGCTCTAGCGCTTAGTGCGACACCAACGCCAGCAAGACCAGGCTAAGATGCCACAGGGCCCCCGGATGAACGCACATAAAACAAGCTTTTTGAAGCGACAGATGGAGAGCGAATTTGTAGTACTTCACCAGAGTCTTGAATACGGGTCTCGGATAGACAACAAACGTCGATATTAAGACTTTCAAAAGACATGACCAGCTCTATATGTTGTTCGACCTGCATAAGTGTGCGAACGTTGAACGCAGCCAGTTTTAATGGTGCACGTGGTTTCAGAAAGACCGTTTCAGTATTCGTATTTGGTGGTAGCATACAATTTTCAACCAGGCAGTAACTCGGGAACGTTTAGATAGGACCGAGTTTCCACCATAAGCGAGCTGCTGTATACGTCGAGAAATAAGGATATATAAAATGGGAATGAAAGAGAGTGAATAAATGACGTAGTAAATAATAAGAATGTGAATTGTTTGGTTATTAATCAAAGCGCGAATACAATTTTCAGAAAATATCGTCAATTCATTTTATTTGTGTGTGGGTTGTGATACTGCCCGGGTTCCCTGACCGAAGCAGGTGGTTTTCTTAGGGGGCCACACCCCGAGCCTTCGAAATAAAAGTCTAACCCACAAGGCAATGGAGCATCGTGAGGAGATGCAGTCCCCTGGTAGCCGGTTACCAACAATTGGTTCATACGCCATTTGTTCACTCAGGATGCTGGAGCCCATGTGCACCATCAGTTTGGGATCCGGTTAAAGCGCCGGACATTCGCTTTTCATCCTCTCACTTTCGTAAACAACACCCTCGTCACGAGAAGGCAGTGAGTAGGACTACCCTGGCAGATGCTGTATACGCGTGGCCGTGTGAGAGCATTTCGAGAGGTAAGTCGGGCCCACCATACTCTCGGCCATACCACGGCATTTCGGGGCTCTAGAGTACTTATCGGTCCTACTCCCTGCCTAGCCCAGCCAGTTCAGTCCAGAACACCAATGTCAACCTCTGCGATATGAATCACTTATTTCAAGCATACTCGGTTTATATACCAACCAGATAGACCACATCGTACCAATAAAATAGGAAACAACATTTATACAAGATTTGGCCAAATATATATGTGAATGTGAGAGGTAGTAATTAATAGACAGGGCATAATTCAAGAATGGTAAATCGTATAATAATAGTTCATAAGTCAAATAAAGCTCGTAATAAGAGGGACATGAATATGTATATTTTAGCTATTTAACAATTATACGATAAAAATATGCGCATAGTATTGGTCCATAAATGGATCACAAAAGTTACCATTCATTATGCTTATCGGGACATAACATTTATATGGAGCTACTGGTCACTACAATTCTTTATTTACTATTCGACTTCAATAATCACTTATGATACACTAAATGAGATACACATATGCGTGAAAATATTTACGACGTAAAAAATAGGCTTGATTTACTGCTGCTTTACTTGAAACAAAAACTGAAAATGTACGATTTTGTAAAATAAAAAAAGGCTATAACACATAACTCTGTAGCTATTACTTTGCATACTATAAAAATCATACCTGGTACGGATTTATGTACCCAGAAAGAGTTAGGTTCTTTTTCAAAGAATCCCAGTCACCCGTAATTAGGTCACGGCCAAAAAATCGCCCACCAGGTCGCAAACAGGATAAAAGGTTTGATAGCAAACCAAGTTTGAGTATGTTTACGCCTATCGAGTTAGGCCAACCACATAGTATGACAGAACAATCGTGAAACTGACTATCTACAGTTGAAATGTCCATGAATTTCTCCAGATTTTCGAACTGCAGCTTCTTAACATATGTAGAAACAGCCACTTGTAGACCACGCATAACGTCTTCTTGAACTTCGCCCGACCATACAATCATCACACAGTCATCACTGTTGAGACAATCAGCTACACATTGTTCCATGATGACACCTGAGTAAAAGTCATGACGTATGTAAGTTTATTTTGACAAAATATATTTGCGTTTTGAAATAAAGTTTAGATAAACAAACTAAGTATCAATTGTTTTAGTGCACAAATGGAACGAACAGAAAGTCGAAGTATAGATACATTTCACTGACATAAGTGGTGGAATACAGTCTATATGACGATTAAGATGTGCACTTCTTGAAAAAGAAGTGTAAAATTCAAATACTTGCACACTTTCAAATAATTAAACTACAACGTTGCAGTAAAGAGCCAACTACCGCCAGGCAACATTTGACGTGCTTCAATGGCTTAAATCGAAGGCCAGGAGCAAAGGTTCTTTGAGAAAGTCACCTGTTGGGATCTGTATATCCATGAGGCTTCAGAAATCACCATGATTCAATTATATTAGACGGTTGTGCTCAAAAAATATGAAAACAAATTTTTTTCATTTCACTTTGATATCCTACTTTTTTATTGTACGTTTTCTTATAATAACCTCAATCTTTAACCTAATTACTGTTAAAAGTTATGCGCTGTCGCTAAACAAACCTGACACAACTAGGAAACCATGTGTGCTATTTTAGCTCGTTACCGTCAGCACTCACTGACTGGTGCAGATCGAACAACTGACAGCTTTAATTGTCACTGAAGCCTCAACATTGACGTATGCTGTGTAACTGAGACTAATATTCAAGGTTTTAGTGGAGTATTACGAATGCGCTCGATTGAAAACGCTTAACGTATACTTTATCGAGAAACACCGTAGAGTCGGCGCTCTGGACAGGTTCGGTGTGACACTAAGAGCTAGAGCAAAGACAACAATAATTTTTTTGTTTTTTAGGTTAGAAGATTTCGTTAAAGAGATTGGAAACTAACATGGGGAACGATGTGTTGAGGATGTGGAATCTGAACATATACTCATTTCGAATATCCTATTTATTTTTTTATTGACAATATGAATCGACAAACTTAATGTATTTTGCTCACTCATATTGGGTCAAATCAAAAAGCATCATTTGTAAAGCCGGGTTTTTTACTCTGGCTAGGAGGTAGGAAGAAGTGGAAAGAACGGATTCCTTCACGATACTGAAGTCGACGTAGCGATTCGTTAGTAAAGCGTACAACGTATCACCATGTGACTTTATAGTCTTCGCCTATAATTCGATGGATACTAGTTCAGGTGTTATAAAAATGAATTTCCAGAAAAGCACGTTCGACATTGTTGTGAGAAATGCGTTTAGAAACAAAAAAGAACGTTTCTGTGTCCAATGGAGACTCGTTGGTCCAAAGCTAAGTAATGGGACCATTTTCCGGAACTTTTTACATAGCATAACCTGCATCTGTGCATCATCTTTCCAGTCCGTCTGCAACGCAAGGATGGACTGGAATCGACTATATTATCACCATTTGTTCATTGTCAGATCTGAAAAAAGACTGCCGCTCCACTTAAGGTAATTACCTAGATTCCGCACATCTGTAGGCATGCTTCAAACTTCTGATTGTTTTGGTCGCCAAGAAATATATTGTCTCTTAAATCTCAAGTGTCAAAACTAGCTACTTTTAGAACCAACTATTAACTTATCACGTCGTGCAAATCTGCACAGACTAAACTCACAAATCCTCCCAGGTTGAACTTCAGTTAGCAATTTATAGTAATAAAAATCTTATTTCATTATTAGCAATTAGCGTTCATAAGTACGCCTAGTATTTTCGCAATACAAAGTAGTTCTTCAAGAATGGTAGTGGCTTGCAAGGATGTAATGTTTTATATAAATAAATAACAATTCTGAGTATTTACTTGGCTTTTGTAGTAAACTGTTGAGTTCTTGTGCTGGAGCAGCTGTACAAGTACTGGTTGTGTTGTGGCATATGAGATTAATCCACCTAATATAAACCCCAAAACGGTTTATCGCACCTTTGACGTCATAATATTAGTCAGGATGGAATACGTCAGGTGGAAGTAATCCCACGCAATATCTGTGAAATTCGACCATTTCTGGGATATTTGGTGACTGTGTTCGAGCTTCATTATCTATGAAAGACTGCTCTAGCGATTGAATCGTGTTCTTAGTGCCGAAATTTCACAAGATTTTTAGGGGCTGTGGTGATAATTTAACTGACACCGACTTTGGTAGCTGGGATATTCTGCGAAACTTATTCTAGAAAATTTCAAACTGGCCATTACTTGCTAACACTAGGACTGGATGGAAAAAACAGAGTGGTAGTATTTATTGCTGACGAGTGAAAACTGACCAACTGAAGCTTTAAGTAGTATAAAAGCAGAGAAGAAAGTGTGAAATTATCAACCCTCTTAAAATCAGATATCTCCGAAAATTTAATCATTTCTATTGACAAATCAAAGATGTGCTATCTAGACACGTCCATGATTCCTAAAAGAACATTTCAGATACCATATTAGTAAAACTGATTTTTCGGTTTTGCATCGCTGACTTCACCCGGTCGTGCACGTGTGAACTGGAGAAGCTAAGATCTGCACACATTTACGGCGGGTCATACATTGTTCACCAGTTAGGGAATTGAGATGTGCACATTTGAATGTCGAAATGTAAAATCCTTCTAAGACCGTTTCTTCGACAACTAAGTTATTTTGGGTCTACATTTTGTTTAGGTCACATTGAAGATCCTACGCACACCCCAAATGTAGAGTCGGACACTAGAATTGACAAACAATAACGCACTCATCAGTATATCATATAATTCAACCAGCGACCAGTCACTCACCTGACTGACCATTGCTTCGCACCGAAATAGCAACGCAAAGAATTCACTTCAATCAGTCAGTCAGCTACAACGTAGCCCGACCGATGGAGGGGCTCGATAGAAGACTGTCGCTCATTCTGGAGCACATGCTTAGATTCAGATCATGCTCTAGTGCGAGCGCGTATTTGCCTGCGTCTTACTGGACGTAAGAAAGACGCTGCAAGGAAGCCTCTTAGGGCCCTACTTAATGATAGTCAAGCTAAGAGTATATTTCAGGAACAACTAGGAAAACAGTTAGGCAGCCATGTAGGTGATGCCTAACCCGAGGCAGCATGAAATGATATCCGAAAAGCTGTAGAAACAGCAGTAATATCTGCTAGTAAGGTAAACCAGAAGGTTAGGGAGAAACGCTATCTCAGTAGCATCTACCGCATTGATAGATGCTCGGAAACTTATTCCAACTGGCTCTGAACATTACGAAAAGCGGAGTCAGCTTAAGCGCGAGCTGACAAGAAGCCTACGCAATGATCGCGAACAGTGGTGGGTAGCGAGAGCAAGAGAAAAGGCAGCGGCAATAGGTAAACAGCAGACAATTGTTCAGACTCGTTAGGGAAACCGGTATCTGCTCACTATCCAGGGTGAGTACAGGATTAGAATCCTGTCAGTCTTGTAGAAGTACTTTGCACTTCGAAGGTGCAAAGCACATACCGTACCTACGGAAACTGATTGCCAACTGATTAAGTGCGGATTGCATGGCTTGGGCATTATCGCACTATGGCAACTTGAACTGATGTACGTACGTACGAAGTTCTACGTTGTTACTGACTGACTACAACGTAGGACCAGGCACATATATGCACCGGTCCAAGTTGTCATACCTCATTAACACAACAAAATGAACACCAAATTCATAGAAGTAATCAATTCCATGGTAGCAATATATAAAAGAAAGATCGCATATCGGGATATAATACAGGAAGAAAGGATTAGTTCGTAGAAAGATATAAGGCAATTTTAATCTCAAGGATAAAGGGAAAACAAAGAGTGTATACACCTAGTGTCCAGCCACTGATTACGATTGTCACGTGAACCCTAACCAAGTAGTCTACATCTACCAGCATGGATCAGACTAGAAGTTAGTGACTTTAAGCACTGATGTCACGTTTTGGCTTGGCCACCCCTAACACTAGTCAGCATTGCGAGTCGTGGTAATCGGTGTTCAGGCATACGTATCACGTGGCCCAACCATCTCGATCGATGAAGATTAACAGCCTCATCAACCGATTTACCATCACTCCAGAATACCCTGCTTCTAACCTCCCTATTACTGACCCGGTGATCCCAGCAGACGCCAGCAATATTTCTAAGGCATCTGCGGTCAAATATTAGTAGCTCACGAGCATCTTCTACTCTTAATCGACACGTATAGCGGCCGTAAAGTAGAACAGAACGAACTGCCGCGTAGCATACTCGTACTTCCATTGATAGAAGAATATCTCGCCTTCACCATATGTAACGTAAGTTCGCAAAAGCCAAACGAGCTTTCTGAATCCGTGCTGAGATTTCGTCAGACACCAACCCATTAGAACCAACCAGACTTCCAAGAAAAGTGAAGTTGTCGACGCGTTCGACTACTTCACTCCCTGTCATCAGTCCAGGTGTTGATGCACGTCAGTGCTGAGTCTGACGAATAGTGAATATGGTCGATACAACCACGACCAGTCCTGAAACCAGCCTGATTTTCTCGTGTTTGCAACTCACAAGTAATTGCTAAGCGCCCGATAATTATTGAGGCTAGTATTTTAAATGCTATATTAGTTAAACTAGTCGGCGAGACTCTAATTTAGGGACGAGCCAATCAGAAGCGTTTGAGCAATTTCAAGGTCACGGAGCCAAGTTCAACACGCGCTGCTAACATACGATCGGTTCACAGCGGATTTTAGATTGTAGGTGATTAATGAGAGGTTACAACGGATGGGACGGCGAAACTCTATTTTAGGGACGAGCCGATGAGAAGCGTTTGAGCAATTTCAATTATTAGCCAATCAGAAGACAGTATAAAGTAAAAATATATTACAAGAAAGTAATGAATTACAGTGGATATTCTTCTTTTACATGATTTAAAAACCTGTTGAGGTTTGATAAAGACTCAGAAATTCTGAATTCATAATGCATATTGTATAGAAACTCGTCCATAGGGTTAGGGTTTGGGGTTAAAATTAGGGTTAAGGGTTAGGTTAAGGTTAGGGTTTAGGGTTAGGTTAAGGTTAGGGTTAGATTAGGGCTTAGGGTTAGGTTAAGGTTAGGGTTAGATTAGGGCTTAGGGTTAGGTTAAGGTTAGGGTTAGATTAGGGTTTAGGGTTAGGTTAAGGTTAGGGTTAGATTAGGATTTAGGGTTAGGTTAAGGTTAGGTTAGATTAGGGTTTAGTGTTAAGGTTAGGGTTAGATTAGGATTTAGGGTTAGGTTAAGGTTAGGTTAAGGTTAGGTTAGGGTTAGGTTAAGGTTAGATTAGGGTTAGGTTAAGGTTAGGGTTAGGTTAGGATTAGGGTGCTAACATGCGATCGGTTTACATCGGATTTTAGAGATGTGTCTACTTACAGGCTACAACCCTAACCACTAACCCTATGGACGAGTTTCTATACAATATGCATTATGAATCCAGAGCCTCTGAACCTTTATCAAACCTTAACAAGTCTTTAAATCATGTAGAAGAAGAATATCCACTGTAATTCATTACTTACTTACAATATATTCTCACTTTATACTAACTGTCTTCTGATTGGCTAATAATTGTCAAGGTCACTTAAAATTCGTTCAAAGGTCGTCCTTAAATTAGAGTCTCGCCAACTAGTCTCTCTATAGTTATCACAGGATGATTTTAACCCTCTCTTATATATTGGGACAATCAGTGATTGTGACCAGTCAGATGAGATTACGTCTAACTCCCATACTTTAGCTAAACTATTAGTCAACCTAATCGCTACAATCGGACCAGTATTCTTAAAGACCTCTGGAGCCAATGCATCTGAACCAGACGCTCTTTCTCGTTCAGATTGGCTATAGCTTTTTGAACTTCAACTAGAGTCGAGAGACCTAGTCCAGTGTTCTATTCAGGCTGTTTGGGAATGGTGAACAGTTGTAGAGTAGCTGAAGGTCAGCTGAACTGCTCCTTAGTGTTCCGCCCATCGTTCTAAACGTCTGAGCTGAGAGCATATAAGTGTCGTCTTTTTCTGAAATCGTCTCACTTACAAATGACTTCTTAATTCCAGTTTCTTTTATTAGTCTGAAAAGCTGTTTTGGGTTACCTACAGCCGATGCCTTTTCTATTTCTTCTGCTTTCGTTGCCCGGTCACTGCTCACGATCGTTCTGTAGACTTTTGGTTAACCTAGATCTGATTTGATTTTGCTCGTCATCATGTTCGGAGCATGATGGGAAAAGCTTACGAGAGTCTATCGGTGCAATAGATGTCGCAAAACTTAATTGGTTTTTCATGACATTTTTGGAAGTAGCGATCAAATATAAAAATAAAGCTTCAACGTATTTTAAGTTCTAGAACCAACCACCACAAACTGTTTTGTCCGGATTATTACGAAAAATTACTAACCATAGACACCGACTTGCTTTAATGTAATGAAAGCTGATAGAAAGATCTCATCAACTCTGCAGCATCTTTAGATCTATGGAGCCGCTTGCATAAATTATATAACCCTATTAATCGGCCATACATACCAAAAAGTGAGAAATTATTCTCAGCGCACTGGATACTGAGGAATGGATTCGGATTTAATATATCTTTTCTACCCCAAACACGTTGGAGTAAAAAGGAGATAGGTGTATTTTAAATCCAAAAAGCGGACAGAATGACCAAGCAGACTTTGCGGAGTATTTAATCCTTAAAACGTACTACCGGAATATGTCCACAACTGAAATCATATCATTCAGGAACAGCTTAGACGCTCGCGGAAGCTTACCAATAAACCACCAACACAGACCGCTAACTATATGTACTGACAGAAAATATTTCAATCTTAATCAGTGCGAACTGGAGATGAATACTCCAACAGACTACAATTATCTATGATTGTAAATCCAGGCACATAGGAAGCGAAACGAAATTCAAGGTGACCAACAAAACAGAATTCGATGAGACTCACAAGACACGCAACCTACAAATCAACCACGAACTTCAGGAGCAACTTCAGGTGTTCAATATCTCGAGTGTTCAATTGTAAGGATCGGAAGGCTATCGACTTATATAAATCCTTGAAATTAATGCCGCCGTGAAGATCTAATCCTTTTTAAGATGTTTTAAACTGAGGTCATGATGTTACGTATTGTGGTAGGGAATTCCATTATTCATCAGTATAGGGTTGTGAAAAGTAATAAGTATTTGATTAAGATCATGAACTGATTGATGTTAGACCCCCATCGGAAACTTGAAAGTACTGAACGGCCGTTTCGTCCTATTGTGGGATACCTCAGCATTGTACATCCACGACCCCGCGCACAGGATTAGAATACAGTCAGAAAATAAGTAATCTCCAAAATATTATACACAAAATTAACATTTCCTCAAATGGTTCAAAAGATTGTGCACGGAATGGAAGGAGCTTTCGCTTAACAGGCTTCCGTGTCTAGTAGCAGGGGGTCACCAAAACCTCCAGGCAGGAACCTAGGTATGTTAACAATAAAAGAGGAAAAGAAATTAGTAAATCATAGTGTGATACTATCCTTAGTCCTTAGGAATGGATCAAGTTGCCTCTTAAAGGACTCCTGGGAAGTTGCTTGGACTAGCTCACTCGGCAGCGAATTCCAGCATTTGACAACTCTTAAGGAGTAGAAGTTGCTCACTAGTGACTAGCTTCGTGAGATAATTCACGGAGTTCTGATGAGAAGCCGTGACCAGTGGGGTTAATCTGTGTCATGTTGAGACGGGTGTCTACCTCAGTACAGTAAAAGATGGTCGCACAATTTCGTGGATTGGTTGAGGTTAGACACTAACACCGTTGGATGCCGACTCAGTGATCCAGAGGCTTAGTGCTCGCGCGCGAGACTGAAGGCCTTGAGTTCGAATCACGCCAGCGGGATCGTGGGTGCGCACTGCTGAGGAGTCCCAAAATGGGACGAAACGGCCGTTCAGTTCTTCCAGGTTTGAAATCAATCAGTTCATTATTTCAATCAACAAATTCCATCGATCTATCACGCGGTGTGGGAAACTGTGCGCCGGACGTAAACGATTTTATCCAAGTTTTTTAATTCAGAATTTCATCTCATTCGATCAGTCATAGAAGGAAAGAAGAGATAAGACACAATAATACCAAGACCATCACTGAATATACGGGTGAACTTATCCGCGACGCAACCATGTATAATTAATGTATCGCCCAGGGTCATCTGTGCGTTCAAGTAACCACAGATTTTGTCATTTCATAATGTATTTTTATTAAATAACTAGATTATGTAGTTAATTTTGCTCTGTTTTTAATTTTTATTCGCCACGTCTGACTGCGTTACACTGTACGTCCATTGCACGCTGGGATGATATCTCAAGTCATAGCGAGTTTATTCACATAGTTGATTGTTTCCAGATAGACTGTCAGTGCATGATTTTACTGAAGAAAGTTTTGTTGTACTGTAAACTATGTTTCTATGAACAACTGCCTGTTGTCTTCAGTATGAAAGCAGTATATATGTACATATATACGTATCCTTCTTTTTTTCTTAGGTAAGTTCAACTGGTCTATATTTCGTGTTTTGGTTTTATCGGCTTAATTATGTCCATTCAACTACTTTGAGCAACATGTCTGTGTAAATGAAACAATAACTATGACACTTGCTTAGTTTAATGTTCTTGGTTGTCGTATAATTCAGTTTAGTTGAAAGAATTATGATATACTTAAGTATAGTGCTTGAAGCCTGTAACGAAACAGATCAGTTTAGTAAGTAGAGTTGCCTGTTTCTAATGTGTATACGGATTCAGATCAGTCTGATTAAAAATAGGAAAAAACGTGCCTTTGATGCTGTTGCTGTCATACATTATAAGATAGCGATAAATATGTTTGGTGTTTATTTCTAAACTGTACATCTATCACTGACCATATTTCAAGATCACTGTCATTAAACAATTTCCCTAGCAAAAACATAGGTAGGAGGATTGCTAAGCGTCTGAGCTTTTAGTTGCCCGCAAAACAGCAGTATACAGTCTTAGAAGATGAGTGTTCTGTGTCTCAATTATATGCAGCTGGCTGTGGACAAATGTTAAGAATCTTTTTGACAACTGAGACTTTTAGTTTATCAGACACTTACTGTGCTTGTATGTTTTCCTGTTAAACTAGACGCAGATGCATGGGAATACTTAAATGAGAGCAAAATAATAAAAGCATTGCAATACGGTACTAAGCCCATGTTGTGCTTTGCGCAAGTAGTAGTAGCTGACCTTATCTAATATTCATAAACTCAAGGTAAATCACAAATGCATAAATTTTTTGCTAAAAAACATGTAATTTGGTTATTTATCTATTCCACATTTCTGACTAAATTCATCACTATTTTTTCATTTAGGATGCAACAGGAGTGAGCCTTCACAGATCCTAAAAACTATTTCGCCCTTAGAACTATGGCCCTATAGAACTGTTTACGGGAGACCCAACGAACAGCAGATTATAAAAAGGATGCTGGACGTCCATTTTAGTCTCACAACCACTTCCAGTATTTTTTGACTTCTTTTACTCATTCGTTTGGAAAAAAATAACAAAAACTACAGCTTAACATTACCAATACAACTTTTAAAGGGGAACTTGGTCTATACCTTTGTTTGATATTCGATTCTTAATGAAAGTTCTTGAATAAATTTTTGAATCTAATGCTACTTTGTTTTATCTACTTAATCGTTGCAAGAAACTTGTGATAAGCGAGCCTCTCAGCACCTAGTTGATGTGTTCAAATGGTTGTGGACGGAATGAAAGGAGCTTTCGCTTAACAGGCTTCCGTGTCTAGTAGCAGGGGGTCACCAAAACCTCCAGGCAGGAACCTAGGTATGTTAACAATAAAAGAGGAAAAGAAATTAGTAAATCATAGTGTGATACTATCCTTAGTCCTTAGGAATGGATCAAGTTGCCTCTTAAAGGACTCCTGGGAAGTTGCTTGGACTAGCTCACTCGGCAGCGAATTCCAGCATTTGACAACTCTTAAGGAGTAGAAGTTGCTCACTAGTGACTAGCTTCGTGAGATAATTCACGGAGTTCTGATGAGAAGCCGTGACCAGTGGGGTTAATCTGTGTCATGTTGAGACGGGTGTCTACCTCAGTACAGTAAAAGATGGTCGCACAATTTCGTGGATTGGTTGAGGTTAGACACTAACACCGTTGGATGCCGACTCAGTGATCCAGAGGCTTAGTGCTCGCGCGCGAGACTGAAGGCCTTGAGTTCGAATCACGCCAGCGGGATCGTGGGTGCGCACTGCTGAGGAGTCCCAAAATGGGACGAAACGGCCGTTCAGTTCTTCCAGGTTTGAAATCAATCAGTTCATTATTTCAATCAACAAATTCCATCGATCTATCACGCGGTGTGGGAAACTGTGCGCCGGACGTAAACGATTTTATCCAAGTTTTTTAATTCAGAATTTCATCTCATTCGATCAGTCATAGAAGGAAAGAAGAGATAAGACACAATAATACCAAGACCATCACTGAATATACGGGTGAACTTATCCGCGACGCAACCATGTATAATTAATGTATCGCCCAGGGTCATCTGTGCGTTCAAGTAACCACAGATTTTGTCATTTCATAATGTATTTTTATTAAATAACTAGATTATGTAGTTAATTTTGCTCTGTTTTTAATTTTTATTCGCCACGTCTGACTGCGTTACACTGTACGTCCATTGCACGCTGGGATGATATCTCAAGTCATAGCGAGTTTATTCACATAGTTGATTGTTTCCAGATAGACTGTCAGTGCATGATTTTACTGAAGAAAGTTTTGTTGTACTGTAAACTATGTTTCTATGAACAACTGCCTGTTGTCTTCAGTATGAAAGCAGTATATATGTACATATATACGTATCCTTCTTTTTTTCTTAGGTAAGTTCAACTGGTCTATATTTCGTGTTTTGGTTTTATCGGCTTAATTATGTCCATTCAACTACTTTGAGCAACATGTCTGTGTAAATGAAACAATAACTATGACACTTGCTTAGTTTAATGTTCTTGGTTGTCGTATAATTCAGTTTAGTTGAAAGAATTATGATATACTTAAGTATAGTGCTTGAAGCCTGTAACGAAACAGATCAGTTTAGTAAGTAGAGTTGCCTGTTTCTAATGTGTATACGGATTCAGATCAGTCTGATTAAAAATAGGAAAAAACGTGCCTTTGATGCTGTTGCTGTCATACATTATAAGATAGCGATAAATATGTTTGGTGTTTATTTCTAAACTGTACATCTATCACTGACCATATTTCAAGATCACTGTCATTAAACAATTTCCCTAGCAAAAACATAGGTAGGAGGATTGCTAAGCGTCTGAGCTTTTAGTTGCCCGCAAAACAGCAGTATACAGTCTTAGAAGATGAGTGTTCTGTGTCTCAATTATATGCAGCTGGCTGTGGACAAATGTTAAGAATCTTTTTGACAACTGAGAATTTTAGTTTATCAGACACTTACTGTGCTTGTATGTTTTCCTGTTAAACTAGACGCAGATGCATGGGAATACTTAAATGAGAGCAAAATAATAAAAGCATTGCAATACGGTACTAAGCCCATGTTGTGCTTTGCGCAAGTAGTAGTAGCTGACCTTATCTAATATTCATAAACTCAAGGTAAATCACAAATGCATAAATTTTTTGCTAAAAAACATGTAATTTGGTTATTTATCTATTCCACATTTCTGACTAAATTCATCACTATTTTTTCATTTAGGATGCAACAGGAGTGAGCCTTCACAGATCCTAAAAACTATTTCGCCCTTAGAACTATGGCCCTATAGAACTGTTTACGGGAGACCCAACGAACAGCAGATTATAAAAAGGATGCTGGACGTCCATTTTAGTCTCACAACCACTTCCAGTATTTTTTGACTTCTTTTACTCATTCGTTTGGAAAAAAATAACAAAAACTACAGCTTAACATTACCAATACAACTTTTAAAGGGGAACTTGGTCTATACCTTTGTTT